TTTCATTTTAATGCTCATAGTAATATCCAAAGGTTTTAATAAAAATGCAGCTCAAGTTATAAAGAAGTTAATGAAATATCTGAGCTTTAAAACCCTCTTTTGACAGCTGTAATTTGGCACCAGCTGGTGGCAGTAATTGACTCCAGTTTAAATATCAATGAGGAAGATTCTGGGCACTCTGTATGGCTAAAATTTTTAGAAAACTGGTATCAATTCCAGAAAACTCTCAATAATATGGGCTATTTACATAATCTCAATCTCAGAAAACAGAGGCAGCAGATTGATCTTGAATAATAAAAACCAACATTGCACCTTTCACTTCCTAAGTCACCAAGGCCTGCCTTCCTTTGTAACTTCTCCTTTCATTCCTGATGGAGAGGGAAGGGGAAGAAAGCAATGTACACAGCAGTATTTATGTCTAAATTTGCATTATCACAGGACATATCATTACATTGTCTTAATGAAGCAGTTTCTACTATACTATCAAATACTGTCCTTACTTTGTCTTCCAAAGAAATCATAGAAAGTGAGGTTAGATCACTAGAAAATATTACATATTATTGAGAATGAAACTAATGTCTTTAGCTAGGAAATTAATGGTGAAATATTTTGCTTCTTTTCATATAAGAAGCAAAAGATCTGGGTTAGCACCCAGGACAACTAACAATAAAGCCCACAGTTACTTTCTAATTTGGAATAATCTTATCATGGGAACCTGATTGTGTGCATACAGACACTATAAACTAGCCTGACTCCTTTCAATTAAATTTTGTATCGTGGCTCCTTTTGATCTATCTTGATGAGGTTAGACTCTCAAGATTCTTAAAAGAAGCCTCAATAAATTCTATTATTCTTGGGAAAAATGCTGCAAACTTATGCACGTGGTCCCACCAGACAGAGAAACTAAGAATATCAAAGCTATAAAATCAATTTGGTGGCATATCAAATTTACTTATTATTCATTAAAATAGAATGCCATTCCAATTATTCCTCATAAAATTCAATTCTTTCTTATACAAGGTACATATCAACTTGTAATGTGTTTTCTTTATACATATAACCAAAATAAAAATGTTTTCACATTGCACCTATTCACAATTCTTTGTATTACAACTAACAAGAATGATGTAACTCCATGAAATGAATAAGGATAGATGAAATAAATACATGATTCCAGTACCTATTAACTTTACTTATATAAACACAGTATTCTAAATGTCACAATTTTAAAGCAACATTTCAAAATATGATTTGGAAAAGTAATTTTTTAAATTATAAACTTAAAATTATATTGAATAACTAAATTAGCCTGATTGACACTGAATAACATTCAATTTCTCTAGAAAAATTTGCACCTTCTAATTTAGTTTCTCTGCAAAGCTAAAGAGAGCAGCCTCCTCAAAGGTTTTATTGACTGCCCAATTTGAAGATGTCTATACTCTGCCTGCACAGTAACAAGCTGGCACTAATAAGCCATACATAAGATACCAGTCATTAAAATACAAATTAGGCACCTTTTATGTTTATACATGTGTAAGTAAAATTAATATTGCAGGCTTAGTTGGAAATAAAATTGCTTTAGTTAACCAACCATTGCAATGCAATCAAATGAGATTTCAAATGCAACCGGAAAAGATCTGTTTGGTAGAAATAATAGGGATGATTTCATGTAGAACAATTAATTTACCAAGCTTTTTTTCTCCCACCTGCCCTTAATAAAATATTTTTCTATCATAATTGACATGATATGTCACCTTTAATACCCATAAGTTGCATGGAAACCTGAAAGACAGCTGGTAGACATAGCTTATTTACAAATATTGGTCTGAACTTGCAAATGCATGACCACATAAATCTTAAGCCATTTAGAGTGTATGCCCTTTGTTCCCTCCATTGTATATTCAGCTGGGAATTAAATGGAGCTGAGGGAGAGTCTGAATTACATGAGGCCTTTGTTGTTGCCAGCATATTAGTGCTTTGCCTTTTGTTCTTGTTGTTTATGAGATCTCTCTACATTACACAGTAGGGAATGTTAATCAACATTTTGCCTAAGTAATATTAATGAAACTTGCTCACTTGTACTTGAAGGAAGAAACAGAATATTATATTCCTTTTTGAAATGTTAATGTATCTTTTAGGAAATTATTTCTGCCTTCTAAATCATCTTAGTGTTAAATTATTAAAGGCTGGCATTAAGGAACTATTACACTGGTGCAAATAGTTAAATACCTTAAAAGATAAAAAGATTATAAAGTTTAAATGGAGGGCCTTTTAAAAGACAGTAGCATTTAACTTCAAATTAAACATTTTTAAATGTTTGATTAAAATACTGCCAATTTGCAGGTGTTTTGTATACAAAAAGAAGAGATTTAATGTCAATGATTTTTAATTTCCATCCACCAATTTGGACTGTGTTCTGGCCTTGAAGGATTTATTTAACTTTGCTACATCTAAAAACTACAGCACTATGTACTTTATAAGAAAAAAGAATGGGAAAAGTTTTCAGGCTTTTGTACTTGTTACACATTTGTGTCTTAAGATTGGGCAATTAAAAATTGCCTATTTGTGTTCTATTCTTCAAGAAGAAAACTGTCACTATTTCATGTTCCAAGACTCTATATGAAAGGTAGGGCTACTGAAAAGACTTTATATAAGGCTGACATGGTAGGAGATGGAAAACATCAATTCTCAAAGTGCAAACTATAACAGATATGTGTCTTGTAAAAAACCATTCATAGTTGTCCAAGAAGGAATGCAGGGAAAAGAAATGGCAGAGCTCTAAAATGGACTAAATTCTTTTCCTCTTTAACAGCCTTTTTGATGTCAATCAATTTCTTCATAGGTCCCAAATAAACTGTGAAGTAACCCAGAGGGAAATTAAGAACAAAATTTGTTCAAGAATTCTCCCACAGAGCAAGCACTATTTCTTAAGAACATCTAACACTAGAGTAAACCATTTGTTTTCTATTTAACCATGTAAGATTTACTTATGGCTTTGGGGTCATTGTAGGTACAATTTGTCATCTTGCATGACTATCACAGCAGTGCTGCTAGTTTGACACAGGCACTAAGAGAATATATGATAGGGGTTAAATTTCAAGGTAAATTTATTTCATATTTTGGCATTTCACAAATAAGAATACAGCTTAAAATTTTTGGTGCATTGTAATTAAAATGTCTTCTTTTTCTTGAAATAACTAAAATAGTAGAGTGCCTTACAATTGACAATGGCCTGAATTCAATAAAACATGTAATATGTAGCATGCATTGAAGATAGCATTGTAAGTAATGGTCACTATTACTTCTGTAAGGAGAAAAAAGTTATTGCCAAAATGATGAATTTGTGTTAATGAGCCCAATATTAAAGAGTTTACAATGTATCTGGGCAGAATCCATCTAGTTTTACATCTATCAAATTTCACAATGCTTTTACAGTGCCCCTCTGTTGGGAATAGGAAGGAAAAATAGAAAAGAATCAAAAGAATAGATTATTTTTTCCTTTTGTCTATTTGAGAAACACAATTTCAAGTTTCTTTTTCTTACATTTCAAAGTAACCAACTACAATGTAAACCCTAAAATTAGATGAGCTAAAATTGTCCTCAATATTCAAAGACCTTATTTTTTTTTTTTACTTTGACACCAAATTTTTGTTCTTTACATATGAGTGACAAATTGATCTTTATTGTCCTCACTAGGATAAACAATAGTGGAAAAGCTAGTTTTTACATGACACTAACAACAGGGACAATACTATCAAGTTACTGAAAGTCAACTCACTATGATAAACAATAGTGGAAAAGCTAGTTCTTACATGACATTAACAACATGGACAATATGATCAAGTTAGAGAGAGTCAAACAATTTGACAGCAGTCAAGTAACATCAAGCAATGTGGTAGATTGATTGGGAAATATAAATTACTGAAAAGGTAGTAAAATATGAACACTATCAGAAAAGATTTTTTTTAAATCAAGCATCGAAGATTAGCTAACTATTACAAGGGAATTAAATACTCAGTGCATTTTCCTTTGATAGACAAGAAAAAAACACAAAGTAAAATGTTAGTTCCTAAACTCCTTGTGTTCTATTAACATGCAATTTTAACTTTAAATTTGACACTTTTGTTTTACACAATGGAATTATCACTCACATTCTAATCTTATTTTAAAGAGGAAGTGGGGTTTGGAGGAGGTTAAATTCCAAAAATCAATTGTCTGGAATGTTTCAGTGATGAGAAACTGAAGACATTTTCAAAATAATTCAAATATGTAACAAAAATTTTTGAGCTGACAATTAAAGAGAAATTTCTGCCCTGTGCCCTGTGGCTGTTAAGAAGGCAAACAGATGACAGAAAACCTCATCACAAGGAGAACTTCTGCTTTTGTAACCATTAAACCATTACCCCTTGGAACAAGAAGCAAGTTTATTTAAGAAAAAGAAAAGAAAGAAATAGAAGAAAAGAAAAAGTGGAAAAACTAATGCCAGCTGGCATGTCTAAAAGTAGGCCAGAATAGAAGGAGAAACACTTCTGGCCAAAATGAAGCAAATTAAAATCTAAGAGATTTAATATAGTCATTCTCCCCTTTGATCACACTGCCAACCATCAAGGTGATCATGAAACACACACTCCTCTTTCAAATTCAAAGTCATAGAATGCAAATTGTTCTTCAACTGGTATATTCATAATATCTACAAAGATTACTCAGATATTATAATTTAGTGCTATTTCAAAGCATTTTATAAATATCTAGGTATGGAAAAAACATTTGAAAGAACTTTCCTTTTTTTAATGTAGAGCATAAGCCAGAACATTTAAACTAACTCAATTAGTTCTGATTACCCAAAGTAAGGCTGTTCTTTCCCTCCCTTTATTTTTTTTTTTAAGTCCCACACATAACATCATAAGATTCCATCACTAAAACATTATTTTAATGTGATCATAATTATTCAAACACTAAAGTCAATCTATTTAAATCAAGGGATTAAAAAGGGTCCTTACTGCAAAATCTTCCCTCCACTGATGGGCTGCTTGAACTTTCTCTGCTTCCAAAGCCAGGCGCTGAAAAAGAAACAGTAAATCTTAGAATTTAAGTGACCACGTGAACATGTAATTATTACATAAAGTGCTTAGGTTGTCTAATCAATTACGAGGACATAATAGCAGAGGAGACTCCTTGTTTGTGATTCAAAAATTCTAAATCATTTAGCAATCTAACCTATTAAAGTTGATATATTTACTATTTAGTGATAAATAACAAAACTATTCCTAAATGCCATCCAGTTTACTATATCTGCTGTCATCAGCAGTAGTGTCCTCTACAAGTGCTTTTTTTTTTCAATGACTTACCATCTCCATTTGCTAAAAACTATCAAGATAGGATATTAATTTTGCTAGAAAATTGTTGACACTTCAAGCCTCTAATTAAGTTCTGTTCCAGTCAAGTGACATTTTTATTTTTATTTTTTTAAGTGACATTTTTAAAGTCAATGAGCTACTATTAAGGACCATAGGTAAACTATACTAAGACTAATAAAATTCCTATCTAATAAAATGTGAATTGCTTGGTACAGCATGCTGTTTTCATACTAGGCTATAAAAGTATATCCTGTAACAATAAAGTATGCAGCAGGAAATGTTTCTTTCACTTAACTGTAGCACAGTACAACAGAGTATCAAACATGAAAACCAGACTGAACACTGGACAGAAACAAAAAACCTGGCTCACTCAGCATGGATCACAGAGAGAGTGAAAGCTTAATTCTGCTTACATCATGAGAAATCAGAGGTTCATTAGCTTTATTGTAAATGAGATCATACATGTTTACATGAAGTTCCTTTAGGTATATATGATAAATATATGTATAATTGTAATAGATAACACATGCAAACCAATTGTTTTGAACATTTAAAATTTTTAAAAATCATTTAAATATGTTAAAAATTCATTTTTATGAAAACTAAATAGATTTTAAGGATTCTGACTGCAAAGTTTGTGCTCATTCCACAAAACCACTCTTGGGTTTCTCACCCAGTCCATCAAAAGTGGCATCAGCAGACATTCAATGTACATATCAAGACATAGCAGTAGTATCAAAACCAGAACACTGGTAGAGATCCATGATTATTTAGTAATTGATAAATAGGAAAATAAAAATAAGCACCAAAAAATATTGTGCAGTGTGTTAGTCTGGAAAGTGTTTTTAGAAAGGTCTTGTCCTGGAATCCTGAGAGACTATTGCTTTTCAGTTAAAAAAAAAAAAAAAAAAAAAAAAGCTTTTGATATGCAGTGGTCTGCAGAAGAAAGAAAACACAAGGGAAGCAAGCTTATCAGATGAGAGAAAGATCAACTCCCTTGAAGGCTTTGCATTCTCAACCTTCATTTTGTCTCACATGATCATCTTTTCTTCCAGCATTGAATTCTGTCAGGTGACATGAAAGTCTACTAAAAAGTATAATTATAAAGTATATAAAGATTCAATTCTATCATTCTAATTCAATGACACCAAATACATTTTTTTCTTAGAAATAGACTATTTAAACAAAAATTTCTGAGGAAATAATTTGCCTCCTACTTTGTAGATTAATTATTATTTAAAGGATGTTTTTAAGTTTTATGAAATATTTCATTAAGAGGAATTTTCCTTTGATAGATTTGAAAGAAAACTGTCAGGAATCATGATAGTTCCCTGAGACTCAAATAATGTTGAGACGGGAGGGGGGATAGTAGAGGATAGGAAAGGCAGCAGAATACAACAGACACTAGTATGGCAATATGTAAATCAATGGATGTGTAACTGATGTGATTCTGCAATCTGTATATGGGGTAAAAATGGGAGCTCATAACCCACTTGAATCAAATTGTGAAATATGATATATCAAGAACTATGTAATGTTTTGAACAGCCAACAATAAAAAATTAAAAAAAAAAAAAAAAAAAAAACAAATAATGTTGAGACTCATATTTAAATATCAAATATTTACTTAGAGACATAATTTAAACATTCCAAAACAATTTCTTGGGCTACCCTATAACAAGAATTTTATTTTTTTAATAAAGGGGTAATAGATAAGAACAGACTAATCCAAGTAAAATATGCATGTGTTATGTGATTAATGTTCAAACAGTTAACACCCAATAAGGATTAGCAAATTATTATATTACTCCTATGTTGACAATCTAATTATCATCCTAATGAGTTTTAGCTATCTTCATCAAAAGGTTATTAACATATCAAAAGGATCATGATACTCATTTAAATGGCCTAACAATACCTATTGAAAGTAGCAGACTTAGGTGAATGAACAGACTTTTATGTGTTCTGAAGAAAAGTGTATAGGTACCATAATTAACGTGGAGCTATGGTATAATGAACAGGAACTTCTCAATCACATAGAAATGATATCCAATCCTGATGTTGCCTTTCACTAACAATGGAATTTTAGGCAAATATTTTAACTGTGATCAGCTGCTAGGAAATTTATCAACTTTATATATATTCTATTTGATATTCTAAAAATATGGTATATTATCAAATCCATAAAGTTCTGCTTCCATTTGAATTGCATAAACGTGACTCCATAGAATGTCACTATAGTCACTAATAACCACCTCAACATGTAAATAATACCACTGAAATGAATGAGGACCCTTAGTAGTCCCTAAATTCTACTGTATTTCACCCTACAGAAAAGTTCCTATCTATAGAACCATATGGAGGTAAAACATGCAGCTCTGGGGAATAGTTTAACATGGCAGTCAATGTGCATTCAATTTTATTTCATTCTGTTTTTACCATAAATGACATAAAAGGAGATAGATCTTTGTGCTCTGCTTTCTGGCCTTACTTCCTAAAGGGAATAGAGAAGGAGATAGTGAGGTGTGACATTTCTTCATTCTTTCTTATGCTGACAAGGAGTTCTTGAAGACCTGAATAGACAGGGCATTACAGACCTCTATGAATATTTAGTGTCATATTTCATCTCAAAGGAGATGCTCTTCTCTTTCCAATAACCTTAAAGAATTCAGTTCATTTAAATTCATACAAATATACAGGTCCGGAATTCTTCTTAAGCCTTCTAGCCATTTATGTATCCTAATGAACAAGGATTTTACTATGTAAAATTAGTGTAGAAAAATAGTTCTATTTTTAATCCCATCTGTTCAGTTCATTTTGCTTTAAATATTTCTATAAAGAAATATTACTGGAACCTTGAAAAAGCTCAATTGGACTAAACAAGCCAGGTTGGATATTGGAACTTGAAGTTAAAAAGTTACAAAATGTAAAACTACCCAGTATGACTTAACTTCAGCACATTCCAACATTTAATAATTGTAATAACTAGAGAAATAAATAAATACACATTCCATGTTGGAGGAAAAATATCTTAAGAAACAGTGTGGCCAGGTGAGGTGGTAGGAGACTGTAGTCCCAGCTACTCCCAAGGACAGGGTCAGGGTGAGGAGATCATAAGTTTGAGGCCAGCCTGGGCAATACAACCTGACCCTGTCTCAACAACAAATATATAGAGTAGGTATGTACTTGTGTTCTTTAAACCTTTACTCAGGGTGTGCTGTATGAAACTGTATAAAGAATAAAATACAGAACCACAGTTCCTGCTTCTAAAGCAAATGAACCATCTACTATTTCTTCTTCTCTCTTGCTCACTCTCACCATCACACATGCACACACCCCTTGTGTTATTTGATAGATGCTGTCTGAATGGGTACAATACACTTGATTGGTTAGTTTGACTTTATTTCAGTGGCTGTTCTACATGGAGAATAAAATGTTTAAAGCACTGCCTTTTATCCAGGCTGTAAATATGAAGTGTTGCTTGCTGAAAGCCATAGCCAAGTAGGAATGATGCATGGCATTTTGGGTTGAAAGGTGACCCTCCTCAAGGATTAGGGCGGCTCCAGGTTTAGGGTGGATCCTGCTGGGAATAGGGCAGCTCCAGGATTAGGGCGTATCCTGCTGCCTCAGGTGCCCACTCCTTTGAAGTTCCCCTTGAGTTCTCTTGGGGTTCTGAGAGTATTGGTATGCAGAGCCCGGTGGAGGGAGTGTATTTTCCCAGAATGTGCGTGTAGAGTGTCAGTGAGAGTTTGGGAATAAAGACTTGCTGTTTGAATCTACAAGGCTTTGTGGTGGCTCAGTTATTTTGTGCCCAGCCAGACTGTGGCAGTTGCTAGCCAAAGATAAGATTTAGTCACAGGTCATTTTTGAAGGGGGTTACTGAAAATACTGAAAAGCATAGAAACCAATTGTCTGAAAACTGCCACCCAGAAATCACTTTTGTTATTCTTTATATTTGATCGATAACTTCTTGTGAAAAATAAATATTTTTTAAATATTTGAAATAATTATTTATAATATTATTTATTTATTATTATTATTTACAATAATATTTGTAATATTATTAAATATTAAGAATATTTCAAATCACTTTGAAGTTCCTGTTCGTCACCTCCTTGAACAATTCCCCAGCCCCCAGGAATCATTGCAATGAAGTAATTGGTATCAATATGTGGCACTGTTTGGAATGTTTTTTTTTTTTTAATAGGTAAATGTTATCAGATATTGATATTGTCAATTCTTCTTCCTAGTAGGCTGCAAGCAGGTTGAATGCCAAAGAGAAGTTCCACTGGCTTCTTGAGGGGAATGAGTTTTCTAAGGAGAACCCATCACCCTTTCAAGTGACAGTTTAGATTAAATAAGAGAATCATTTTAGATCAATGATGTATAAGAAGGTTTTCTGAGGGATTTGGAAAGAAAAATAATGTCTGGAGGAGGGCAGTGCCCTTCAGGGAAACTACATTGAAGCCATCTTGAGACCCTTTTCAGCACCAAAATTCTATGTCTCTATAGCATCTTTTTCATCAGAACACAGAACAGGCCTCATTTGTAAACACAGGCCTGTCTATTCTCTCAAGAGACCAGCATGCTTTCCACTCAGACATTACTCATGCTGTCTAAATTATCCTGAATCATCCTGTCAGCAATGTTTAACAAGATGTGGCACTGCCCTCTTTCTCTGGCACTGGAGGTTAGCAGTGCACC